CCACTACTGTTGTCTCTCTTCTTGTTTCTTTTCTCATTCTTCTTGTTTCTTTCTTTTTCCTCCAACAAGTGCTGTAATTTATCTTCTTGTTTCTTTTCTTTCTTCTCCTACAACTGCTGTAATCTCTCTTATTGTTTATTTTGCTGTTCGAGCTGCCACTGTTGCAGGTTTTCTTGCAACTGCTGTTGTCTCTCTTCTTGTTTCTTTTCTTTTCCTCCAACACTGCTGTAATCTCTCTTCTTGTTTATTTTCTCGTTATTCTTGTTTCTTTTGCTGTTCTTGTATTGCTGCCATCAAATCTGCTAAGTTGTAGTTTGATTTGCCGCTTCTCGTTTTAATTTTTTTCCCGTCCCACTCTCTGCCACCAATTTGTTACGTCTCCGTTCGTTAGTTAATTTTCCGTAAATTCATTCCGACGAAACTTTAGCGACACAAGTCCTTTCTTAAATAAAACTGGTTTATTCTTTCTGAATATAACTTTGCGAGACACTTAATTTCAACAGTCGCGCTATAACAAACGTCTCACGTGCTCGACTTCAACAATACTCAATTCAATTACACACTCTCTGACTGCAGTTCAATTACTCAATACCTTTCCGTCGCTTCGTGGCCGGTCTTATATATACCAGACTACCCTATATCTAGTAATCTCCCGACAATTCACGAAGGTTCGAGAAGGACGTGGCGTGATACTAGTCACGTGACCTCGCTGACGCAACAATATGTTTGAGGGGTGGAATGAGAATGATGAGAATTCAAACTAATATTAAAGGTAATATGTTCTGGAAACCAAAGTACAGACTTTTCCCCTGTTAATTATATTTGTGAACTTGTGAAATGATTTGTCTGATTATGTGGTTTTTGCAATAAATTTTGGTCATTTTAACATTTTGTTGGATCGATATATGGATGTAAATAGTTATATTTAAGTTCGATTAAAAGTTTATTAGAAAATACTATTATTATTATTTAATTATTCTAATATTTGAGATTTGTGCTTACATGAGGGCAGCAATGATAATTTCGCGCAAAATTGAAAAGTTTCGATCACAAACGTCAGGAAATGGGCGTAGTACGTCTACATTGTGTCATTTCTTTCAGTTCTCAGGTAGTATTTTACTTAGCTGAAAGTGATGCATGATTTTAGGAAATAAAGCATTTAAAAATCATTTATTGTACTACACCAATAATAAAGAGAAGCGGAAGATCTGTAAGCTAATATGAAACCTAACCTAAGCAAAGTTCCCAATCCTAGTCCTAGTAGTAGTAGTAATAATGCTAGTACGATAGTAGAACTAGAAATATTAGTGGTATTAAAATTACATTAGGAATGTTGTGTTGTGTTAAACAGTAACCCTCACATATTATAAGTTAATACAAAAGCATGTCTCTGTTGTGCATGTTTTTCTTCTATTAGTATTACACTTAGGTATGGTCAAATGTGCAGTTCAATATAATTGGAGAAGCACAAGCAGCTATTAAGTTATGAAACTAAGATTAATTCTTTTATTCCTTTGAAACATCCTTCAATTTCAAACAGCTAGTGGTTTGAAATTTGTACTGTTAATACTGTGTTCTTATGTTTCTGAACATACTGTTGTTTATTTTGTAGTGATAAACACACACACACACACACATATATATATATATAATTAAGGCTATGTTTGAAGTTATCCAGGACTTCAAAGATAGTTATAAAAATTCGAAGTATTCAAGCAGTGTCAGATTTTTAAAAATATTTTTAATAGAAACTGTTTATCAATGTTTTAATACTAATCTTGCATGATTAAGTGTCATTTACATAGAAAATTTAATCTTTTTATTTGTTTAATGTCTAGCATTTACTAACTTAAGAAAAAAAAAGACACACACCACTACCAAAACGTTATACATACCAGGTCCTGTGCAGACCATTATGGTGAAGCAAGGGTATGTTTAATAGCTGCATTGCATCAAAAAAATGCTTACTGTACTGTTATTCTGTTCTGTTTTGCTATTTATTTATAATCATTTTATTATCATTTATTCATTTGCTGATGCCTTTATTCAAGATGTATGTTTAATTAATCAACAACATTGATGAAAAAATATGACTGGTAATAACACGCTCTTGTATCTTTTTGCTATAATTGAAGGTTCATATTTATTTTGTAACAAACTGTTAGTGTTGCTCTGTTCTGTAATGCTATTTATTATTTTGTTTATTGGGTATGTTTAATTAATGAACAGTTAAAAAGACTGACTGTAAACCTATTTGGAATGATGTCTGTTAAATAAAGATTTGTTTTGCTTAAAGTCAGTTGCAGTTTTCATGGCTACAATGCAAGTTTACTCTTTGTAGCTATACAAGTATTGCACATAGAATCAAATATGTGTATTTAAACAATGTGCATTTTTTACTTTTTTTACAATATAAAAACATGATATTGTTTGATATAATGTATTTTTAAATTACACATGAATATTTTATTTCATTTATATGGGAAATGAATGGGTTTCCAATCAAACATAAACTAGTAGTTATGGCGACATCATCAGTGCATTGTGCAAATTAGTACTATCAAAGGTTTGAACCTTCATTTGGTAATGTGATCTAAACCTTCAAAGGTCAAAATCTACCCTTTATTATAGCCCTAATATATGTTTGTTTTTCTTCCAGGATGAGAAGTATCAAGTTGAAAATATACTTAATGGTTATTCTGATGTCACCACCAGCAGATGGTTGACTGCTTCTTCAGATAAATCTGGGAGACTTGAGGCAGAGTTTCAGTTGGAAAAGGCTAGCCTTATCAGTTATCTTGATATTGGTAAGTCAGGATTAAATCAAAAGAAAATGATAGTTTCTTGGCTTGTATGTTAATTAACTAAACTTTTCAACTCAGTAAGTGCATTATTTCAGGTGGCAGCATTAAAAATCAGAGAAATAAAATTGAAAGTTTAGTCTAACAAGAAAATAATGTAAAAGGACAAAGTGTTTATTTTATTATATGGTGGGGTGATTCTAAAAAATTCTACAGAAATGTAAAAACAAAAGGTAAAGTAAATCCATTACAAATATGTTTAAAGTGATTAATGTTTTCTTTTATTGCAAAGTCAAAATATGAACTCAACTAAATAAAAAATTTAAGGATAATTCTAAGAACCCTTATGTAAGAATATTCAAGCGTATGAACTGACTTCCACAGGGCTTATTAGAATTGCAAAAATAATGGTGATTTATGTGTTATTTTACACTTGTAATCATTTAGTTTTTCTCTAGATTGAGTTTTATTGTAACATTTCTTTAAACAAGTGACATTAATTTATAGCTCATTCCATATTTATATATCAATGTAATTTAGTTTGTTGCTTCAGTTACTGAACTACATTCCATTGTTTGATTGAAAAATTAAGGTTACAAAGAATTTCTGATCATAAAAGTCAGTCTTCCAAAATATCCCATCTTACAATTAAAAATGTTTATGATACTAAGAGATGTTATCTTCCTTCAGAACATTTTAAATAAAAAAAATATTCTCTAACCAAATATTTTTGCTATTACTACAAAAAATTCCTTATAATGAACAAATGAGGCAAAAAGTGTACAGTTGAACAGAAATTTTAGTTATTTATTGAATTGACTGAGAGCCTGTATTTTTTAAGGAAACTTTGGATCTGCAACAGTTGAAGTTTTGGTTGGACGATCATCATGGCCCAGGAGAAAAGAGTACTTGACTTTTCTTCCAACTGTTGTATTTATGACCCCAACTGATTGTAGAAATGGAAAGAATAATATGACTGTTCGAATGTTCACAGAAGGTGGTTGATTTTAAACTCAAGCTTGTCTTTTGTTTCTTTTATAGCTATATACAGACAGTGTTGACCTAATCAAAAAGCAAGTAACATTTAGTAGATTTAAGTTTGAGTTTCTGATTACAGTTATGTCTGTTTATATGCCAATATATTTCAAGGTTTCTAATGAGGAAGAATTCTATTTTGCTATCTCTAAAATCTTAACAATTAAATTAACTTCAATAAATTTAAGCTAATTAAATGACTAAACATATCACAATGCTTTCTGTGTCAGCTAAATCATTCACATTTGGTTTTTAACTAGTAATCAAAATTTTCATTAAAAATTTCTATAGAGCACTTGGATAAAGTTGCCATCAAAGAGAAGTGGGACAGGATTAAAATTATTTGCTGCCAGCCATATAACAAAAATTTGCAGTTTGGTCTATCATTCTTGCGGCTGGGAAACAACGAGGATAACATCATAGATGCTGCATCAGAAAATCTACCAGATGCTGCATTGATGGATCAGGCAAAAACTTTAAGTACTGAAACAAGGTAAATGATTTAGTTTTTTTTGTTTGTTTGTTTGACTGATAAAATGTAGGCTAAACTAGTTAGAGCCAACAATCAACCATGTTGAATTCTAGCATTACTTTTTATACTCCTACTTCGAAGCAGAGCAGGGCATATTGAGTTGCTCCTGTCCGTTTGTCCTGATTTTGTGGGAAGATATCTCAAGATTGGATTGATGTATTTTGATGTACTACATACAAAAGTTCCTATCTGATGAAGTCTTAAAAATCATTGGTCAAAATCAAAAAGGTCACTGGTACATAGAACATCTTCCCCAATCTTTTGGACATGATATTTCAATAAAGGATGAATACGTATTGACCAAATATGTAAAACAGGTGCTACATACAAAGTTCTAGACCTGATCAACTTTTGAAGGTGATGGATCAAAAGTTAAAGTCAATCAAATTGGTTGAACCTAAACATACAATATAACATTAGCTAGGATATATGTGTTTCATAAACACAATTTGCACTTGTTTTATGTTGTGTTACACTTTACAACAATAACTTAAATGTAATACATAACTAACACTACTTTGTTTAGAGCTAATGTAAAGTTGCTTAATAACATAGGACCAAGCAAACAATTTACTATAAGTTATTAAAACTTTTCAATTGGCTATCTGCACTCATTGTAAAGTATCATTTTATTTTAGAAGTTGTTCTTCTAAACTTAGTATGAAATATATTAGTGTTTTTAAAAATTTTCAGTGCTGATTGAAGGATAGAAACCATTATTTAATGATGACAACTAACAACTTCAGAAAAATGTTTAATTACTCGTACCCAATGTTTCAGCTTATGTCTTTATCAAGAGTCTATGAACGTCACAGGTTACCAAATTGATTATTAAATGACAGGAACTGAAAATGAAATACAGCTACAACAATATAATGGAAAAGTGTATGTGATACGAGTGTAGTATTAAATAATTCTAAAATTACATTAGTTAAACTGTATAAATTACTTTAAAGTAAGAAATTTGAGAATACCTTGTTTTAAATTGTGCTTTTAAATGTGAAATCCAGAAATAAATCATTTTAAGCCTTATAACTTTTTTCATAAACACTAGCTACAGTTTTTTAGAAATAAATATACAGCAACCCTCAGCAAGTATAGTAACCTTTCAAAAGAAATAAATCCAGTTTTATAAATTAGTAAAACCTATGTATAAGTATGAAATATTGTTGTGATTGGCACCATATTAAAATGCATGAAATACATTCAACTCCTCTTGCAGTACTTAAGTTGTAGTAACTTTTTGCATGGAACAGTCATTTTACATGTCTTTACTGAGTAATTTCTAATATTTTATTTTATTCATCTTTAAAAAACATTTCTAGCTAATATTACATATTTCACATTAGACTTACTTTGCATTTCTTAATGTGATGTTGAAGAATTTCTGAAAACAAAACTGTCACATCCTAAATGACACATGCACATCTCAGTTTTCCCTTTATTAGTTTGTGAGAACACAATTTGATGGAATTCTTGAAATGTGACAGTCAGCTAGAAAGTTCCAGAACCTATTACCATTTTGTTTAGAAGTTTAGATTTAAATTTTTAAAGATAGCACACCATCCTGTAATATTAACACCTATGTTCATTCATATGACATGACTTTTGTGTACTATATGGACTTAACATAGTAAGTGTGTTTGTTTTTTAGATTGTTTCTTTAATGATATTTTTTTACCTTGATAGTTCCATCAGGACGTCTAAACCGGCTAGGGTTAGGAGTTTAACATCAGATAAAGGTGCTTCCCGGGCAGCAAAAATGTTGAGAGCGGCACATTTAGCAAACAGTTCTACTCGTAAGGCTATAAATATCAAGAAAGAATATAGTAGTCAGTTAAATCTCAGCGTAAGTAAATAGAGTAGCTAGAATATTTATATATATACACATAAAGTTTTATTTTAGATACAAATACAAAAATCTTTTTCTCAGCAAGTATAGTTGTATAATATTATAATGCTCTTAACTAAAATATCTACATGTTAAAATGAAACTTGTCTTTAACACCGACAAATAACAAACTAATTGGTTACATTACTTAGATGTTTAATAATATTCTATTTCACATAAACTGCATTCTGTTTAACATAAAACTGATCACATTGAACAATTATAAATTACTGAGTAACAATTTTAACATTCATATTTACTAAGTAACATAGTTTTATATTTCTTTTTGAACAATGAAATTCAAAGTTTTAGTTCCTCTTACTGATAGAATCATCAATTTTAAACTTGGTTAAACATATTTTCCCTTAATTTGAATTCCTATATATTGTGAGGGAATCTCATAGGAAGGTTCTGCCTCTGCAGTTTATCTTTCTGGCACACAAATGTTCACCATTGTGTTTTCCATGACTAACAACCTGTGAGAGGAAGAAGAGAATACTGCAGGTTGATGGAGACTTAGGTTACTGCAACACACCACATTGTCTTTTAATTCTTGTGAACAGATGACCTTTGGGTGGCTTCCTCAGGGGTAATTAGCATGTCTATTTGGCTAAGATCGATTAAGTGCCTCTGTAGGATGTGTTCAGTAGGTATTGTGGATGTTATATCTGGTACTGATGTTTAGGAATAGTGTCAATGAAACACTGGTTTGTTGCACTGTCACTTTGTAAGACTTCATGTTAGCTGACATTAGTGGGCACTGAATGTTTCTCTGTTTCAAGAAAATGAATAATCAGTAAATGACCATTGACAGAAGACTGTATGCACACAGTTACCATCTTTTACTATTCATGTACCTTATTTACTAATTTTACATTTATTATAAATATGTTTTTTAGATGTTCCCCTTTTTTCCTTCAAAAGGGATTAACAAGGGATTCACAGTTCTCTAAAGTTGGTAAATTAATTAAGATCTTGGGATTTACTGGTGGAAATATCATGACCACAGGACAGTGAACTTCTCTTCAAGTTGACATATCTATTGAGACAACCTCTTAGTACTTTGAATTTCACAAGGAGGGTTACTGTGAAAAAGGATCTCTTTAACATTCCTAAGTTTTATTGGCCTCTAATCTGTAGAACCGTTATTCAATTTTGCTTACTCAAACCACATCATCTCATGGGGATCTGCCTTTTTGATCTAGGGCAGAGTCCATTAAGGTCGATAGGCCTTCTAGTGACTAAAATATTAAAAAAATGGTTGGAAATCAAAACAGAAAAGCTCCCCGTCTAGACCTTAAAAAGTTTAATAGGAAATGACGATGCTGATACAGTGGAACTGTTGAGGTTTTTGTATATTACATCAAGACCTTGATTGACTTACCATCTTGTATGTATCTTCTTACAGAAGACATTTCTGAAACCTAGTGATGCTGTCATCATTCAGCAGTTTTCTTCATCCAGAACAGGTTGTGTGATGGTTGAGTTTATGAAGTAGTAGGATTGGTGGTTAATCAGTATGTTCCCTCCATGACCAAAACATATATTACACCTCTGGGTTCCATTTCTATCTCTTTTGATCATACCATCATGTGTTTTTTTACCAGTCATCTGGAGAGATAATTTATTGAAAACATTGATGATCTTATTGAGCAGTTGCCATCTCTTTTCATCATCTTGAAAGACTTAAGTAAACAGTCTTCTCTAGAGTGGAGGCAGTATTGATGTGAGGTGGTTTATCTGTGAGGTATTTGCACTTAAATAACAACTTTTCTGTTTAATACTGGAGACTATGTTTATTTTCATGCCCCAAGTCAGACTTTTACTGCCATTGATTTGTCCATGTCTTCAGCTTCTCTCCATCTTTCTTTTTCTTAGGAGATGGACAATGAGCCACGAGATAATTATCCCATCATTGTGAAAGAGACTAGTACAGTCAGTTACCAACTTGCATGCCACATTGTAAGTTAGTGAAAGAAAACTCATCTTCCTGCATCATTCTCTGTAGACATGATTGTATTGTCTTTAACATACCATATTTTAATGATTGTGTGAAAGTAGTAACTGATCATATTCCAGGCAACTGTTCTTACCACCCTTAAAACTTTGACTTTTATTCCATGGTGAACACCTGACTGACAGAGAGCATGACAGACTTGGAAATGAGCATGGGATATGTTCCACAGATATCCAATTACCAACAACATAGCCTGTCAAATGCTCATGCTCGGCAGATCAAATGTCAGAGGCAGAAGGAATAATGAATTCAATTTGTTTCCAGCATTTTGTACATGAGTAGTTCCACAGACAAAATTTGAAAGGTGAAAGGAAAATGTACATCTCATCCCTTTTAATCTTACAATCCCATATCTAAGAAGTGGTTGATCTAAAGGTATTGCTAACTCTCTTGGAGAGTGATTTGACAATCATTCTAGCACCTACACCTATTCCTTTGCTTACCTGGCCATCAAGACATGGGCCAAAAGATTCCCACTTTCTTTTTGGCTTGATTGTGTTAGTGACTATATCTAATCACTCATTCTTGTGGAATTGAAACTTACCCTACATTGATTTTGCAGTATCTGAGTTGGTCCAGATGATGTGTATTATGAAATTTTACACCATCTCCTTCCTGCCTCTCAGTCTTCTTCTGGTTCTTTTTAACTTGACTTGTCAGGAGGAAGAATATCTAGACTTATGGAGATGGGCTATTGTCATCCCTTTTTCTAAGCTTAGGAAGGATCCCAAGATTCCTTTTAATTATAGACATATTTCTTTGACAAGTTGTCTGTGTAGTTTTGGACTGAATGGTTAATGTTTATCTTGTTTGGTTACTATAATCAAATAACCTCTTTTCCAACACTCAGTGTGGTTTCTTCACACATTGAGTTATTGTGGAAAACCTAATTTGACTTGAAATGTCAATCAGGGAAACCATTCTCTTTGATCTTGAAAGGGCTTACAACACTACTTGGAGGTTCTGTATATTACAAGACCTTCATTCTTATGGTCATTTTCCCCATATTTATTTGTACTTTTTCAGAAAAGAGGTTTCTCCAAGTCCATATTAGATCAATACCATCCAGATCCTTCATACTGGAACTCAAGAGTACCTCAGGATTGTGTCTTAAGTATCACACTTGCTAGCATTAAAGTCAATGTTATCACTAACAACTTCTTCTTACGGTTGCAAACAGTTTGTATGTTGATGACTTTTAGAGTTTCAGTCAGTTCTAAATATGACATACATTTAGTAGCACCTCCAAATTATCCTCAAACTGTCTGAGTGAATCATTGCAGTTGGTTTCAAATTTTTGTTATCTAAAACTCTTTGCACACATTTTTATCACCAACAGGGATTGCGCTGTTCCTGAGCTCCATATGGGTGCTACACATATTCCATGGTGGCTGAAATAAAGTTCTTAGATCTTCTCTTTGACAGTAAGCTGACTTTCATTCCTCACATCAAGCAGCTTAAAGTCAGGTGTATAAGGACACTGAACACCCTCCCTGTTCTCTCTTTCTCTTCTTGTGCTTAAGATCTATCATGCCCTGATTTGACTTTTCGGGTCTGTGCCTTAGCCAAAGGCTCTTCATCGAAGATATTAGACCCCTGTGTATCATCATTATTTCAGCTCTGCATAGGGGCTGGCTACTCTTCTGCAATACAGGGTTTATACACAGAATCCTGTGAATATTCAGTTCACCCCCAACATTTGCAAATTTGTTTGCAACATGTTGCAAAGCTCTGGTCACTGTCATGACATCCCATCTGACAATGTGACTTCAAGTTTTTCCACATAGATTGTCTGCTATTCCAACCTTTGGCCTTTGAATCCAGACAAAGTTGACTCAGCTGGGTGTGACATTGCTGAATATGATGATCAGCCCCTCCTACTATAGCTTGTACTATTCCTACTTGTGATCTTTGAGTCAACTGAAGAAGTTGGATACTCTCAACAGAAATTAATGATTTCACTTTTGTGCACACCTCTCAAGCCAGCCTTAAATACCAGTATTAATGGATAGCTCAGAATCAGGTGACTTTGTGCTCTGTTATGATTTGCTGCATTTTTGTATTTGCTCATAGTATCCTCTCTGTAGATTTTGACAGCTTAGTTGTATATAATCTCATTTGCTCTGGATCATAAAGAAGCTAAGCAGTACACTATTATAAATTGTATTATCAATACTGTTTCACTCAGCTCTTTGAAGGCCCTGGAAAAACTTGTTGTCAGTTTTCTATCAATTTCTCTGAATTCCCGTAGGAATGAGGTTGTTGGCACTTCAGCCAAACTGATCTCCAATGTATCTAGTAAATATTTGGATTTCAAATCTGTAATCAAGGCAAGGCTTCATGCTAATTAGTAGGTGATTTTCGGAGAACAATGTTGGAACAAGTTTTTCCACATAAAACTTTTAATCATTAATTGCTCATCTAGTGTGTGCAGTAGTCTGAGGGAGGAAGTTGTCTTTGCAAGTCTTCCCATTGACCACAGTTTTATTGCACATCATTTTTTCTTGCAAGGGAATGACCAGTTTCTGTGCAAAAAAGGTAACAGTTTTCCACATATTACTTTGATGGCTTTGCTATGACAATCAGTAGCGGCACAATTTTAGATGTGTTTTAACTTGTGGTGACTCCTTGATATTGAGCAGTGTTTTCAGAAATGATGACACTGTCCACATCATCTATGTTTTTATAGGACATTGGTTTTTTTAACTTTCATTTAATTGTTAACCTTTTTTTAACATAAATAAATTTACTTTACTTATATTATTTTTATTGTATGTTCACAGGTAAAGCTTCTTTAAATGTATATTACCAAATGGTTCTTAGCTTTTTATAAGATCTTGGTCTTGCTGTACTCTTGAAAAACTTCAGAAAGCATCATACAAAGGAAGCTCAAGGAGAAAAGAAGACAGAAATTTCTTAGAAATCCATACTAGTTTACAAATGGTTTGTTTGAACAGGCAAAGAGTGTCACTCTGGATGTGGCCAAAGAGTAATCTTAGACATACTTACTCAGATCCACTCGGAGATGATTCCTTACCAGATGAAGGACTAGTACGACCAGCTCTTCCTGGGAAGATGTTTGACTTAGCAGAACCATGGCAGAGTGACGTGTAGGCTGTGATCAGGAAGGCTTATGCAAGGAGTGCACCTGGACTGAATGGCATAAACTATATTCTCTAAAAGAAGTGTTTAAGCATTTTGCATATTTATGAAATCTGCTAAAGGTGGCATGGGGAAAAGATGTATCTAGTTGTTGGTGTCAGACAGGTGGTATGCAAATCCTAAAGAAGGAAGATTCAAAGAAAATAACACAGTTCAGACAAATCTATGTGCTCAATGTGGAAGGGAAAATTTTCTTTTGTATTGTGGTGAGGAGATGCACAGATGTGGTGCTCGTCAACAGGTACATCAATACATCTGTTAAGAATGGTGGCATTCCTGAATGTGTTGAACATAATCCAATGATCTGGAACACTATACAGACAGTTCAGAGAGAGAAAGAGAGCCTGGCTTGACCTGCCAAATGCATACATGTCAGTTCTACATCAGCTGATCAAGTTTGTAATTTAATTCTTATGGACACCAGAGAAGATACAGTTATTTATCGTGTCATACTATGATCAGTTTCTCATATGCTTCACAACCAAATCTGAATGCACAAATTGGCAGGGGTTGGAAGTGGGGATATCAGTGGGCTACACAGTCTCTCCATTGCTGTTTATTATAGTGATGGAGATTATCATCAGGGCAGCTGATTCATATGGGATAGGGTATCAGAGTTGGTGAACACCAGGTGTTATCACTGATGAAAGCATTCATGGATGACATAACTGTTATCACAGGGGAAGAGATGTCAACAAGTGGCATCTTACAAAAGCTTGAGGTTATGGTTGGTTGGGCAAGAATGAAGTCTAAGCCAAAGAAAAGTAGAGGTCTGACTTATGCAATGATAGGAACAAGGAAACTCGCATCAACATTGCTGGTAAAATAATCCCACTGCAGGAAGTGAAGGAGGAACTTGTGAATAACTTGGGCATAGGTACTCATTACCACTGATCAACTAGTATAGAGGGGTAGAGTTACAGAAGGTGAAAGAGAGCTTCAGAGTCATAGACAACTGTGGGCTAGCAGGAAAGTTTAAACTGTGGGTCTACCAGTGTGAACTACTGCCAAAATTCCTCTGGCCACTACACACCTATGAGATTGCTCTCACTTGCATAGAAACAATAGAAATAAAGATCAATGCCTTCATTCAGGAAATGGCTTGGAGTTCCAAAAATTGACAAGTGTGATTTTGTATAGCCAGACAGCAAAGCCATAACTACCTATAAAATCTGTATTTAAGGAGTATAAGTGTGCTAAGATCAGGCTTTTTCTCACCCTAAGAGAGACTGGTAGCCAGATGATTCAAGACACATAGCCTGAGGTACACATGGGAAAAAATTGAATGTGGGGGGATACAGGTAGATGAAGCAGAAGGAAGGCTTTGCCACAAGAAACTTGTTGTTGCTGGTGGGGAGAAATTTAATGGTTCTCAAAGGCAGTGGATGGGAGAAAGAGAGGAATGGTGTTTGAGGAGGTCTGCTAAATAGAGGACTAAGAATATCCAGTCATTGCAGTCAACCAATCATAGCAGCTTTGACACAATGGGAGAGTGTTGAGGAGAGAAATATTACATATAATGACCTATGGAAATTGGAACCCCTGTGTATCAACTTCCTTCTAAGAGCAATATATGAATTTTTTCCAGCTCCAAGTAGCTTCTTGATGGGGCTGTGTGACAAGACTGTAAAATTGCACTAACCAAGATTACTTGGTGTGCAGCTAGGTTCTCAGGAAGATAGTAGATAAAAAGATGGCTAAAGGCGATATGCAATCAGGGATAACTTCAGATCCCATTAAATTGGTGAGATCTGGGAATCAAGCAGCAGAGAGAACAACCAGACCTGAGTAGTGTGAATTTCTATTTATGGGAAAAGAATGGAGTATGCATTCTGATTTGGACGAGGCCCTCATACTCCAAAAGAAGATGCTGCTAACCAGTCTATAACCATACATGGTTCTCTTGTCTGCCAGAGCTAGGACAGTGCTAACTGTTGAGCTAACAATCTCATGTGAGTATAGTATTAATGCAGTTCATAAATTGAAGTGAACAGAGCACACAGTGCCAGAACAAGGGTTGATGATGCAAGTTGTACCCTATCAAAGTCAATTATCTACTATGAATATGTTTAGAGACATAGGATTATGTGACAAGGCCAAATCAAAGGCCACTAAAGCTACACAGGAGTAGGTGGATAAAGCATCAATTTGGCTTTGGCAGAAATGAAATACTGCTTTCAGAGCAAATAACAACTTACTTGGTACACTGGAGCAATATTGAGACATCAATGTCCCAGATGTTTAGATGTAGGGGTCGAAATGTTGTGTGAGGACCCATGTGCTGACAGGGCATGTTATGTGTGCCCTTTAAGCCATGAAACTTTAATAATATCCATAATAGTTAAGGTTTTAAATGTTTTAAATTAAACATTGGCAAGAACTATAGTCTTTTGTGAAATTCTCATAAGTAAGCTTCAGATTGTTATTGTCCTTAATCATCTATATGTGTTAAAATGATGCACCATGTCTGTATATATATATATATATATATGTATGTATGTATGTGTGTGTAATTACTCTGTTCTTGAAGCTATAAATGTTTGATTATGGTTTGGCTTTACAATAGGAATTACTAAGATGTTTGCTCAAAACTTCTGAAAATAGGTAAAAAAATATGAAATATCAATACAATTCAGTTATACTTTGAATTTATTTGTGAGATAAATAGAGATGTGGGTTTTTGTAACTATTTTTCAAGAAAATTGTGAAAGCATAAAATGACAGAACTTTAAGCTTGTCTTCAAGGAAAAACAACATTTACAATTTAATATATTATTGTCATTTTTACAGCTGGAAGAAGAAGCACTCTTGCTCCTTACCAGTTTAGAATCCAGCAAGAAGTTATCATTTAAAGGTTTGAGAGAACATAATGTCATTTTGCTTGTTACTGTGATATGAACTGTATTACTCAACCCTTGCAGCTACTGTGCCCTTTCTTTTTGTCCTGAACTATGTCATGTTTATAGGGGCAAACATTAAAAATACCAAAAATATTTAGCTACTTTGTACTTTCTGTTTTCTACTTTGTCATTTTTTATAGAGGCAAAACTTTAAAAATACTAATGATATTTTGTAGAAAAACAATTAAAACCATGACAGTTCAGTTGATGTGTTTTAGAATAAAGTTCAAACATTTTGTGACAAAAAAGGGTTAAGAATAAGAAGTAATGATTTGTATTAAATGAAATGTTTTTCATTGTAATTCAAATTTCATGAGTAGAAGTAACCACAAAAACAGTAAAGACTTCTCTCTTGTCCAAGGTTCTTCAAATTTTCAACAATGGTGAATACATTCAGAAAACCAAGTTTGTAAAGAACCGATGGCTCTTGTTTTAATTATAATGTCTTAATTAATATGTAATGATTTTAAAAAAGGCTCATAAATCTAATAAGACATAATATATTAGTATTAGTTAAACTAAATATCCAAAGAGAAGTTAACGGAACACCTACTTATAACAGCTAAAGACAAATGCAAATTTAGAATTTAAATCTAGATACTTTGCAAATGCTTTTTGCTATTGTAGAAAATTTATATTTACCATAACTGTTTTGTATACTGTGGAAGGATTTCTTTAAACATAAGTCTGAAACTTTCAGAGTTATGTCATAAACTAGAAACCAAGAGAGGGCGTAGACTTACGTGTGAAGAGGAAAAGAAATTTATGGATATTGCTAAGGATTTTGGAAGAAGTAAAATAGATGGTAAGACAATATTCATCCAGCAGAAAGAGTAGTTAAATCTATTATGGAGTCCACGAGTGATCTGAAAAAGGCAATAAAAAAACTTCTTAATCTTACATTGTTTAAAGATAGCTTGTTCTTATGGGCTAAAATTTTGTAGTTTTGTTTACAAGAAAAAAATTATTTCCACTATAAGCCTAATCTTGATATTAAATGTAATCACCCAGTGGGATCCTCATTTTTTATAATTCCTTTTATAGATTAGTACATGCTAGAAGATAAATTATTTTAGATACTTTTTTTAATTGTTACTTTGGTAAGAATAAGTATTGTAGCATTAGCATCACATTTAGGATAATAGTTTATGTAAAAAAGTAACACTAATTTTTTTTTCTAGGTGAATTTCAAGTTATTTACAAAGAAAGTTTAAATAGGGATAAAGCTTCTAGTTCAAATTTAAGTATCTTGAGTCAGTATAAAATGCCTTCTGTCTCCAGAAACACTCTTTCGGTGGTGGATATAAATACATCTCCAAATAAAAAGTTACAGAAACATTCCTCTTCATCAGCTTCAGCAGTTACATCAAAAAGCTTGACACAGTCAGCAGGATTTAACAATTCAGTGTGTTTTTATAGTCATGAAAAATCTTCCGTCACTGATGATGATTATCATTACCATCTATCACCAGAAGTTCCTGACTTTGATCTTTGTTTTGATTATGAACTTAATGAATGTAATTCGTCATTGTCCAAGGAATCCTCTATTAAATCTGATGAAAGAAACAATTCTGTTGTTGTTGTTGATCCAAAGCACTGTTTGTCACCACCAGTTCCTGATTTTGATTTAAGTTTTGAATTAGAATCTGTCAAAGAGGAGTCTGATGATGATTTGACTTCATCAGAATATTCATTGCCTTCAAAGTCTATGAAACTGCACAATTACAAAAACAGAAAAAGACCAACTTTGCTGTGTACAAGGTAGGAGTATACCTAAATGTAGTGGATAGCTACTACTGAAATTATATAATGAATTTTATATATAGATTAATTGACCTTGCTTAACTTGCTAATTTTTTATCACGGAGACCAGTATTGCTGTTATTATTAAACAACAAAAGAGTTAGTTTAAAAATTCATCCTTCTAGTTTAGGCAGTACAAGATCAATTACTCATAAATACAGAGTTGTGCTGGTTCAAGTATGTTAGCTTGAACTTTGTATTAATTTTTTGTCATTAGAAATTTGCAGAGCAATTATTGGTAATTTTTGAATAATTCTTCTGATTAAGGTTAGGATACAGGTTTGACACAGATATATTAAAGAAATAAAGGCAATATTCAGTAGCGCACAATAAATGTTGAAAATGAGACTGTTTCCAGTCTCAAAACACAATAAAAAACTATTTTACTGTATAAATATAAAATAATGTACTATAAGACTGAACAGTCTCATACACTACATGTTTCGACACCTTACTGTGTCTATATACGGCTTAATTGACTCCATTTAACTTGCTAATTTTATAACATAGAGACTAACTCTACTGTTATTATTAAACAACAAAAGAGTTAGTTTAAAATTTTATCCTTCTAGTTTAGTTAGTGCAACATCGATTAGTCATAAATACATGCTTTCAAGTGACTCTTGATGATGACACAGTAAGATGTCGGGACACGTTCAGTGTATTAGACTGCTCCTAGTCTCACAGTATTTTGTCTTTATACAGTAAAATTATTAAGTAAAACATTTTTCATTGTATTTGTAGATGGGGAGCAGTCTCATTTTAAATATTTATTGTGTATTACTTTAGCTGTATTTCTTTGATATATCTGTGTGAAGTCTTCTGATGGTTACATGATACTAAACATGTGTGTGTGAGAAAATCAGCTGACATTGAGCAACAATGAAAGGAAACTGCCAGGTTACTTTGCTGTTATTTATAGTTGATGTAATGTAAATAAATGATCATGTGCAGTAATTTCAAAACTTCTAGAATATGGATCAGGATAAACTGTTAAAAGATGGATTATGAAATATATAACTTTTCTATAGGCAAGGAAAAGAAAGAAAATCAACATGTGTTAGTAGAAGAAATGAAGATGATACAACTTCACAAACAAAAAATTTTCTTGTAGTACAGTGTCCTCTGTGTGAAGGTAGGAATTAGTTATGATATGACTGTGTGGAGAAACTAGCTTTAATTACAAGTGTTATAGTATTAAATCATTCAGTTTTTGAAGCTACAATTTAGAAATCATCATCATATTTAGAACTAAGCAATTAATAGAATTTGTTAACTGATTAATCATTTGGCTCATTAATAGATTACGTTCAGTTAATCAATTATTCTAACATAACACTTGGATAGGTAGAATAGTCAAAAATAGTAGAAATCAGAAACCTTAATTTTGATTAGTTCATTATTTTTGTGCATCATGACACTAGTCGATTATGCTGAACAACTCTGAATTAATCAAAAATAATGAGAAATTATAATGACAGTATTTTGATTACTTAGCTAGTTGGAATAATTATAAAGTTCCATTAGTTAATTATTTTTGTGACATTACTTGATTTTGTAATTTATATTAATCTATTATTTTATGTAACACTAATTGATTGAATCAATGCTTATAGGTAATTATATATATAATACTTTTGCATTTGTCTGTCTATCTGAAAATTTTTAGATCAAACACTACAAATCTCGTATCATTAGAAAGGCCTTTGTATGAGGAGTCCAGATTGTATATTGGCTTTTCCATTCAGAATCACCTTACCTATTTTTTGCTTAATTAAACTTTTTAATGCAAGGAGCATGCTACATGATGGCACAATGTCATTGTCATCACGTGAGGACTGGCTTTGATTTCAACTTTTTTTTTATTTGCAAAGTATTTCACACAAACAACACTTAATCTGCATGTAATTTCCTAAAATAAAAATGAACATTACACCAAATACAATTGCTATGGGTTTTCTTGACTTACTTAGGTGTAAAATATGCATTCACAGTTTGTTCAAAACCATATGCTTATCACTTTGTGAACACGCATTCAGACGTTTCTGTATATTCAGCTAAGTATGCCTTCATTACAACTCAATGTATACTTTACTTTGCAATAATTAAGCTTTGGTTCATTTCATAGACTGCTATAAAAACATTTCAGCTACTTTTTTCTTTAGTATGAGTTTTATTCTTCTTTGTTTCAACTCTAAAAGCGTGTCATACACTGAACACTCAATACTGTTTCATATTCTGTGCACCA